ATCGTCAGTTCACTCCCCTTCCATACCTCTGACTATATTATATTCAAAGGTTAATATTGTTCATCAGATTTTTTTTAATTTCCTTGGTTTTTGGATTCGCTTGTTGATAGTTATGTATTTGTTGTTCATAATTTTTATCTTTATTTACTTTCTCTTCTGAAAGAACCCCCTTCAGCAATTCATATAATTCTGGATTGGTGTTGATGAACTCCTTTAGCTTTTTTTTTTTTTATTAGTGAAGCTCTTTATCTAGCCTTCGATTCTGAGTGATAGCTTTGCTGGATAGATTATCTTTGGCTGTAGGTTCTTACTATTCATCACCTTGAATATTTCTTGCCATTCCCGTCTGGCCTGCCTGGTTTCTGTTGAGAAGTCAGCTGACAATCGTATAGGTGCTCCTTTATAGGTAACTACCTTCTTTGCTCTTGCTGCTTTTAATGTTCTTTCTTTGTCTTTTGCTCTTGGAATTTTTTTTTTTTAATATATTTTATTGATTTTGTACAGAGAGGAAGGGAGAGAGATAGAGAGTTAGAAACATCGATGAGAGAGAGTCATCGATCAGCTGCCTCTTGCACACCCCCTACTGGAGATGTGCCCGCAACCAAGGTACATGCCCTTGACCGGAATCAAACCTGGGACCCTTCAGTCCCCAAGCCGACGCTCTATCCATTGAGCCAAACCGGTCCTGGCTTGCTCTTGGAATTTTAATTATGATGTGTCTTGGTGTGGTCCTCTTTGGATTTCTTTTGTTTGGAGTTCTGTGTGCTTCCTGGACTTGTAAGTCTAATTCTTTCACCAGGTGGGGGAAGTTTTCTGTCACTATTTCTTCCAACATGTTTTCAATATCTTGCTCTTTCTCTTCTTCTGGGACCCCCATAATTCTGATGTTTGTTCACTTGAAGTTGTCCCAGAGGTTTCTTACATTATCTTCAATTTTCTGGATTCTCTTGCCTTCTAGCTTCTGTGGAGGGGTGTCTTCTGGCTCTTTATGCTCCAAATCTTTAACTTGATTCTTGCGATCTTCCATTTTGTTTTTAGGACTCTGTATAATATTTTTTATTTCAGACAATGTATTCTTTATTTTTTGTTGATTCCTTATCATTTCTTGTTGTCTCCTTATTAATTCTATTATAGTTGATCTCTTTTCATATCCTCATAGGTCTTATCCATCTTTTCTAGGAAATTCTTGAAAGACCTTATAGTGTAGATTTCAACTCTATATCCAGCCGCTTTTTGTCCTCCATTTCTTTCATTTGTGATCTATTTCATTGTCGCATTTTGCAGCTACAGATGGGGCGGGGTTTCAGGGTGGAGCCTGCAGCCTTGGCTTCCGTCAGCCCCGCCCTATGCGGGTCTTTCAGAACTTGCTGCAAGCGCCTCTGAGAGAAAGGTGCCCTCGATTTTCGCCTGCTGCCAAACAGTCAATGCTCTCCCCCACTGAGCCCGGTATTGGTGTTCAGTTCAGTTGGAAGTGGGGTTGGAGGTGGCGTTCAGAGCAGACTGGCGCCCCTGTCTCCTTCCCGCCAGGCAATCCTGTGGCACAGCTGGCCATCCCTTCTCTGCGCGCACTGTGCGTGCCGCCGGGACCCCCTTTTGCCGCTTCCCCGGGTACCGCCTCACAGCCCAGCTCCCTCTGTGTGAGCCTGGGTCCCCGGAGTCTGGCCTAGGCCTGGGGTTCAGAGCAGTCAGAACTGGGGCCCAGCACAGTCGGAATTTTATCTCCTTCCTGCTAGGGAACGCCAGCCAGGCACTTGGCCTCCCTCCTCTCCGGCTCCATCCTCTCTGCCCCAGGTGTCTCTGTACTTTGGGCATTTACAGCTCCTCCGCGCTTCCTTCTGGTTTTCTCCTTGCTTCTCGTTGTAGAATTTCCAGTCAATCGACTTTCCTGTAGTTCTGGGTAATGTCCATTTTATATTTTAGTTGTATTTTATTGAAATTGTTGTGTGCGGCTGCGGCTAGGCTGATGGCTACCTGGACGCAGCCATCTTGGATCCTCCAGAATTTATTAATTCTAATAATTTTTTTTATTGGAATCTTTGGGGAATGCATGTCAAACTCAAAGGCTAATAGGTTTTAGTTTATGTGGGCCCCCCAAAACAAAAGCTTTAATTTTCTTTTCTTTTTAAAATATATTTTATGGATTTTTACAGAGAGGAAGGAAGAGGGATAGAGAGTTAGAAACATTGATGAGAGAGAAACATGGATCAGCTGCCTCCTGCACACTCCCTACTGGGGATGTGCCAGCAACCTTGACTGGAATAAAACCTGAGCCCCTTCAGTTCACAGGCTGACGTCTATCCACTGAGCCACTCAGTGTCTTTTGACTGGAGTATTTAGTCCACTTACATTTAAGGTTATTATTGTTAGTTACTTGTTTGTATCCCATTTTTATTTCTTGTGCTTGTGTTCCTTCTTCTCTATTTCTTCTTTTTACAAATACCTTTAGCATTTCTTGCATTGCTGGCTTAATAGTGATATACTCCTTTAGCTCTTTTTTGTCTGTGACGCTCCTGATTTCCCTGTCAAATTTGAATGATTTGACAGGGAAATAGTTTATTTGCTAGATAGACTATTCTTGGATTCAGTTCCTTTCTTTGCCATCACTTTGTATACTTCCTTCCATTCCTTTATGTCTTGATGTGTTTCTGTTGAGAAATCATTTTATAATCTAATGGGAGATCCCTTGTAGGTAACTCTGTCTCTCTCTTTGCCATTAATGTTTGCCATTGTAATTAAGACATGTCCAGGTGCAGGTCTTTTGGGTTTATCTTGTTTGTGACTCTTTGTGCTTGTATAACCTTTTCTTCCCCAACTCAGGGATGTTTTCTGACATTATTTCTTCAAATAGGTTTTTTAACCCTTGTTCCTCTTGTCATTCTGGCATCCGTAATATACATATGATGCTTCATTTCATGTTGTCCCAAAGTTCTCTTGGGCTCTCCTCATGCTTTCTAATTTTTCCCTCCAGTTGCTGTTCAGAATATGTGTGTTTTGCTTCCCTGTCTTCTAATTCGCTAATTCGGTCCTCAGCTTCTCCTAGTCTACTGTTGAAACCTCCATATTGTATTTTATTGTAGCTATATCACTCTTTATTTCCTCTTTATTCTTACATAAGTTGTTGATTTTCTTATCCAGAACATTTAAAAACTGTATGACCCTTACTCTGAATTCTTTTTCTGGCATGTTGCTTGCCTGTTTCCTTCAGTACCTTTCCTGGTGACTTCTCTTTTTCTTAGCTTTGCGGTTGTATCTTTGTCTCCCCATTTTTGCTCTTACCAAAGAATCTAGGCATTGAGTCACATGGAGCCTGTGGCTGCAGTGATGGGCTTGGTGGCAGGTTGCGTAGTCATGGGATCCTGGTTTCAAGCAGTGGGCCCGGCAGTGGCTCTCACGGTCATGGTTCCTGGGTTTTCAGGACTTCTTAAGACGTTGAAGCAGGGTTGAGGTAGAATGTCAGGCAGTCATAATGTTAATATTATGATCATGTATTTTGCTTAGTTGTATATTTGTTTTTCTCTTCTTAGTGGGGTGACTAGATTTATATTAGACCCTTAGTAAACACTGAAAGATTGTTTTTATCTTGATTAAAGATTAAAAGTAGTCTATGTCAGCCATAATCACAGAATGAATTAGGAATTGCATATCCTATTTAAATTCTCTGTAGCATTTATGAGTGCCACCCAAATTTTTGTAAAATTTCCTGTAGATCTCTTGACATTACATTCAATTGGTTCTCTTCCTGTGTTTTTCATTATTTCTTAACTTCTGGGTTCCCCTAGCACTCTGTGCATACATCTATCTTAAAATCCATATTACACTGAAACTCATTATTCATATGCCAGTTTTGCATATAGACAGTGAATTTAAAAATATATATATATATATATATACATTTTTATTGATTTCAAAGAGGAAGGGCATGGAAGAAAGAAATATCAATGATGAGAGAAGATCATTGATTGGCTGACTCCTGTATGCCCCATACTAGGGAGCAATACCACAACCCAGGCATATGCCCTTGACTGAGAATCAAACCTGGGAATACCCTGAAGTTGTTGCCAAAAATAGCAATGACCTTTATATCCTACCCAGTCCACAGGCCGACGCTCAATACACTGAGCCAAGCCAGCTAGGGCTAGACAGTGAATTTTTTAAGAACAAGATTTGGGTCTCATTCTTCTTATAACTTAAGTGCCTAACACTGCAATAGGGTCCTATTAAACTAACCTGTTAAATGTGGAAAAGAAAAATGATATTATTTGCTTTTTGTAGACTTTTGTTAAAGGAGGGAAGCAAGAGAGTCCCACAGTGCTGTCAAAATAATTGTAAAGTGGGGCTTTGTTGTTTTGTAGCTCAAAGACTTAATTGACTAAACATTTCCTATTGAATACAAATTCATATTACTTAGCTCTCTGTCAAATTCCTCGCAGTGCATCTTAACTGAACTTCCTATTCTTATTCATGTATACTTTATACTAATTAAGCTGAGCTACTTCCTAATCCCCCTTTTAGTATTTCTATGTGTTTGCTCATATTTATCTTCTTTGTGGCTTTCATCCAATCTTCAGATGTCCATATAGATGCTGCTTCCTTCATGAAGCTTTCAGTCATCTCCTTGCCCTCTCCCACCTCTACCAAAACATCATTTCCCCCTCTAAACTCTTAATTAGACTTTGACTGTGATAAATCATTATTTTTGTATCCTATTAAGTCATAAGTTCCTTGAGAGCAAGATTCTTATCTTTGTTTTTTCTATTTTGCATTAATAATTGAATTGAGTATAAATTAACTTTTAAAAATGTTTTACCATCTTGTTAAAAATTCTTCCTCTGCATTGATCTATAAGTAAATGCACTTAATCCAGAACATTTGGACTGTGTGTAGGTTTAAATAATGTATTTATTCCTGCAACTTCACTTTAGGAAATAATTTTTGTTCCAGATTTACATTTATTTAAAATGTATTTACCATTCTTTGTATTGACTCTCCTCCTTTTCTAGGGCACTGTCTTTAATCTTGAGTCCAAGGAGGAGGAATACCCTGAAGTTGTTGCCGAAGATAGCAATGACATTTATATCCTTCCCAGTGACAATTCTGGACAAGTCAGTCCTACAGAGTCTCCAACTGTGACTACTTCTTGGCAGTCAGAGAGCTTACCTATTTCCTTGTCAGTCAGCCAGAGTTGGCATACCGAAAGCCTACCAGTGTCCCTGGGTCCTGAGTCCTGGCAGCAGATCACAATGGATCCCGAAGTAAAAAGCTTAGATAGCAATGGGGCTGGAGAGAAGAGTGAAAACAATTCTTCTAATTCTGACATTGTGCATGTTGAGAAAGAAGAAATACCTGAGGGTGTGGAAGAGGCTGCTGTGACATCTGTAGTCTTGTCAACCAGGGAGCTGCAAGAGGCACTCCCTAAAGCCCCAGCTCCCTTGCTTCCACATATTACTGCCACTTCCTTGCTGGGCATGAGAGAATCTGACACAGAAATGACTGCAGTTGAGAAAGTCAGCCCAGCTACATCATTATTTGTAGAACTTGATGAAGATGAGATGAAAGCAGCTATAATTGAACCTATTGAACGAGAGGAGATGATCCCTATACTGGAACCCACAAAAACACTGTTGAGTGAAGAGATGACTATAAGGAAAAAGAGTCTTATGGAAGGGTCCTACCCTGCTGGAGAAGAGAAGTCTATGGCATTGTCTGAGGGCAAGTCTATACTGTTGTTTGGAGGGGCTGCTGCTTTTGCTATCCTGGCTGTGGCAGTTGGAGTAGCATTGGCTCTGAGAAAGAAATAGCATGTTTTAGAAGAGAAATAAGACAAAAAAGATATTAGGCTTTAGTTGTATTGACTGAATATGAACTGCCAGCAGATGATTGTACATTTGTGGAACACGCTTGGATAGAGATTTTTTGCTTGAGGTAGAGGGTGTTCATGTCTGTCTGGTTGTAAGTTCCAAAGGTCTTGGCTCATGGTAGATTCTGGATCTTAAGAGCAAAGTACTTCCTCTGGTACAGGTTTCTCAATATCTGCATTAATTATATCTTGAAATGTCTTCGTTGTAGGAATTTGTCCTGTGCATTGTGTTTAGCAATATCCCTGACCTGTACCCACTAAATATCAGTAGCAACTCTCCCCAAGTTGTTAAAACCAAAAATTTCTCCTGACATTGCCAAATGTCCTTGGGAGTAAAATGATTCCCTCTTATGGGCCACAACTTCAGAGGGAGAGGGTTAATTTAGGAGTATCTGTGATAGAAGTTCCGAGGCAAGAGGAACTCGGTCCTGCCCTTGGAATTTCATCTTTTCTGATGAACATGTTGTGTTTGCAGTCGTTCCTTTTCGGCTTTTTTTTTCTTCCCCAACTTTTTAATCCTATAGTCTGAGTTCTCTCCTCTTATGTCACAGCTGCTTCTCAGGTACCACACTCCTCCTCTTCATCCCCAGGTTTCTCCTAAGATCCATTGAGTGTGCTTGCTCTGTACCTATCAAGTCTCTGATACTTCTTATAGTTTCACTTTGTAGATACTACCTTTAGTAATCTGTAAAAACTAGGGAGGGGGCTCCCTACCTATAAGTGCTATGACAAATAACTGACGAGAGAGATCTGTCTCGTTTAGAAGCAGGAAAATGACTTAAATGACCTCTGGAGCTCTTTTGTGTATGGCCATCCTATTGAATTATGGCTACCCACCAGCAGCATCTCCCTTGCTGGATGGTCACTGTCTATACCTGGGCTAGTGTTTTTCCCAATACTATCTGGCCTTAATGTTAATGGTCCGCCACTAACTCCTTTGCAGTCCTTTACTGCATTTTTATACTTAGCTTACAGACCAATTGAGTTTTAACTCTTATGAAATAAGAAAGTCTCCTAAATATCATTGAAATAAAAAGTATGAAAAAAGAAGCTTGACTTTCTTGGTTACCCTTGAGTTCTAGTTTGGCTTTTAGGCTTCTTCACTGAAATCTTCACAGTCCAAATGCCAGTGTAATAAACCAAAATGATCCTAATTATATGTACTAGTTGAGAATCAGCATAATTTTCTTTCATCTGGCTGATCCCAACTCTGGAAGGGTGAGAAGTGTCATTTTATGCCTGAGGATAATGGTGTCACTAGCAGGACATACTTGTTTGATACATAAGTCATCTCAGATTTACCTTAGTAAATGTAACAAATTATTTTTTTAGATCGTGAAATTTGTAGTAAAATTACTTTGCCTTATCCTGGTCACCAAAATGTTTTAAATATGCTTTCTTTTAAAAATATTTTTTTTAAATTAAATCTTCTCCCTAACGCAATGCTATTTAAAAGTTGGTCAAGAAAAGTTCTGAAGTATGTTTGTGTGCCACTTCAGCTTTATTATGGGGTATATCTTTATGTTCTGAGTTTTAGTGTCCCCATTTAGTGAGTGATGTTTTTAAGGATTTTGGTGCATATTGAATTATACAGCTAGGGGGAGGGGGGAAATGGGATCTTGTAGTAAAGAATTATTTCCTTCTTGGGCTCTGACTGTTGCAGTGGATTACTCTGTCATAATTGCTACATTTTGTGTTTGCATAGGATAAGAGCAAACTGGTGTGTTATCTTAATCTCCTCCCCCCCCCCCATCTCCCATATATAATAAAAGGGTATTATGGAAATTGACCAAATGGCTGAACTACCAGAACACCTGCGGCCCCTCGCCCCGGCCATCCCTACCCTCAATTGACCCCCCCACCAGCTGGCCCACCCCTGATGGCCCCCATGGGGGCGGGCTGGCTGGATCCCACCAATTTAAGAATTTATGCACCAGGCCTCTAGTTTATAATAAAATATTTTCCTTCCAGAGTTCAAACCCAATGGCTGAACACATTTAAGCACTAATGTAATCCAAGTTTGTTTCTGAGCTGCTAGAGTAAGGTGACCAGACATCCCGCTTTTTAAACACTTGTCCTGTGTCCTGTGGGATTTTAAAAAAGTCCAAAAGATTTTAAAAAATCTTTCCAAAAATCAGGACTTTTTTAAAACGCCATGGGACATGAGACAAATTGTTAAAAATCGGGACGTCTGGTCACCTTATGCTAGAGAGATATGTGGCTTAGGATATTTGGGTCTGTGTTCTCCATTAAAGAAAAGAGTAAGACATGTGATACGATGCTACCATTGCTGATTTTCCTGTCTCTTGAACATTAACCCAAAGTTATTTGGCCAATTGGATTTTGCTGTGTAATGGTAAATAGCTATTCTTTTCCATTGGCATTCTCTAGATTGAATTGTTGAAAGTTCCTGAGTTAATAGGATAGTGTCCATGTTTTTTCTTCATTTCCTTATCTTCCGCCTCTGGCAGTGAAAGGGAATACCCTAATACAGACTGCTTCTTACAGCAACTATTATATTTAAAAGAAAATCATGTTACCCACCCTTTTTTTTTTTTTATGAGGGCTGGTAGTAGGAAGCTGTTCCCTTCTGTCCCGACTTATAGAGCACCTAAATCTTAGAAAAAGGGAGAATTCACAATAAATCCAACTCAAATGCAGAATTAAGAATATCACCGTTTATAATTTCTCATTCTTTGAACTATTGAGGAAAAGTTTTTGTTAGTCTTATAGAACTCTTCTTAACTGTTCTCTTAAATATGGTTTCTGATCACTTGGCAAAAAGTTAGTGAATGTTTAAGAAAAATACTAGAATTAAAGGATGCTAATTTATCTTCTCTAATAAATGATCATTCTGAGCCCAAAGAAATCCATTTCTGCAGTGTGCCTTAGGAGGACTCTGATGGTCACATTGCCCTCTAAAAAGAAAGCTTTCTAGATGAAGAAAAACAACCGTTGACCTTCTGGTTCACACATTCACCACCCAAAGTCATCCTTGATACCTCCTCTCGCCTATGTCCCATCTCTCGTATTAAATGCAGCTACTACTGCCTGGGTTTGTACTGGGGGAATAAATGGCAAACAGAGAACATGGTTTTTTGAACCACAGCTACCATTAATTTCCTCAGCTTCTGTGCTGATTCTCTTTAGTAATATAAAAGTGATGCCTGCTCTCTTGCTTTTTTTCTAAAAGTATGACATGTGAACAAATATCATACCCATAGAATTTTTCAACTATTTTAAGAGATGTTTTCTAGAAATAAAAGGTATTGCAGGTAAGAAAAATTTTCCCTTTTATTTTTTTTACACAAACTTCTCTCTCAAAAAATTTGAGATGATTTTTATATCAGGCTGGTCCTCCTAATGAAATATCACTATCTGAACACTTCATAGAAATAGCTTCTAGCCTCTGAACCAATACCCTCACAAGCATTATTTCATTTAAAATCTCAGCAACACACTTGATGCCTGAAAGTCGCCTCTTTCGTGGAGGATCAAGATGTGCCATTAGTAATAATATCCTATTATAACTGAGAGAGTTAAACGATGACATGGGATTGAACTCAGAGTGCACATTTTTCCGTATTAGAATATCCTTTTTCTAGAAAGAAGTGTGGGTAATTATAATTTCAGCAAATATCAGTTGAGCATTTACTAACTTTTCTAGTGTTCTAGCATATGAGAGGCAATGATTGGAATTTTCCTGACTCCAAGTTTAGTGCTTTTTCAAGTTTTTATTATTTTTTGTGACTGCAAAATAGTATTGGCAGGCTCTCTGCACACGGCTGTGCCAATTGCTGCACAAGAGCAACCTATGCTTACCATTTTGTGTGCCTAATTAGTAAATATTGAGCACATTGTCCCAAACAAATGAGATGTCCAGGATTATTCCCAATTCCTATTTATACCAAATGTTTTGCCTCAAATATTGAATGAGATGCCTTATGAATAATTAGCAGTTATCAGTTGCTAACTTAATGTGTTAAGTATTTTTTGTGAACAAGGGTAAGGCAATCTGTCACAGGAATCATCACTGAATGATTTGAAGGTAGCACCATGACTCTCTTCCTTTTTTCCTTGTTACCTTTTGTTCTATTTCCCCTGCCTGTGTTATGGGTTGTGGAGGCAAACTCTAGGCATTGGTAGACTTTTCAATACTCATTTAAGAGGGTTAAGCAGACACAGCCAGAAGCCTGTCTTGCTCAGAAGCTGGCAATAAGTTGACTCCCAGTGCAAACCTTTCATTCATTCCATAGTACACTGAGGAATGTAAAGTTAATAGTAACCTTGCCTATAGAATACTGATTTTAGTTCAGTCACTATTGTTTAGTTACTTCAATATAGCCCTCCATGGAGAGTTAGTGTCTGTCATGTTACTATATTTATTAATAAATCCTGCTTTTTCCTTTACACAAAACTAACCTCTTACTTACCTTGTCACCCGGGTCTTCCACCTGTGAACTCTGTTTACAATATCCCTAGCCAAGCAGCTTTTGCTCAGGTTAGAATTGTTCTCAGGTATATTTGCAAGGCTCTTTTCCATTTGTTTAATCGACTACTTTTAAATTGCTCTTTCTGGAAGAAAATATCTACCCCCAGTGAGAATCTGATTATATGGATGAGAATGTATGTAAGTATATGTGTGATTAACTTGTTTCTATATATGTTTCTGATATGTATCCTTTGGGGGGAAAGTCCATTCCAAAACGTTCATAATAATAGCATTACTAGAAAATGTTTTTCAAATGATGGCATTCATACTGCATGTCATCTATTTGCTTTTAATATCTGCAAAATATTGCAGATATCAGATTGAGCCCCAACTCTAGTGTTTCAAGTATTTAATGCAGAATGATAAGTCATTTTTTCTTTTCTGATTAATTTAAAAACTCAAGAAACATAAAATTGGTAACAAGGAACTATATATTCGTACTTCATTTCATTACTCTTATTCAGTCCTTCTCCACAGTGTCATGTTCACAGAGACAAGAGTATTAGTATAGAGTAAAAGGTAATGTGTGTGACATGGACCCAACATCCACCATCATACATGCAAATGTAACCTTAGGAAACAATCGTTGCTTGGAACCATAGACACCTTGGCACTATTTTTAAATGTATGTGCTCCCTGGTTGATTTGGCATTATCTAAGAAATTTGATTTTGTTATTGTATTCTATCTGTATCCGTAGAAAAGGCAACTATTCAACTGTTGAATTTTTAAGTCTAGTTTTTCACTTCTTTTAAAATATATTTTTATTGATTTCAGAGAGAAAGTGAGAGGGAGAGATAGATGATGAGAGAGAATCATTGATTGGCTGACTTCTTGAACATCCTACACTTGGGATCGAGCCTGCAACATAGGCATGTGCCTGACCGGGAATCGAACCATGAGATGATGTTCAACCACTGAGCCATGCTGGCCAGGCTGTTTTTTTATGCCTAGAAAAACCTGTTCGCTCCTGATGTTTTATGCCTAGAAAAACCTGTTCGCTCTTAAGCTTGAATTGAGGGCTATGATTAGAAAATGAAAATACAAAATTATTATCGGACAGTCTTTCACATGCAGTAGTTTTTGGTACGCCACCTTGACTTCTTAGTCTTGACTCTTAATAAAAGGAAAATCAAGTTGGAAAAAGTCCAACATGCTCTGAATCCAGAATCTCCTGTACTGTCTGGTTTTTAAACCAGAAAACTATTCTTTAGTAGTATTAAGAGGTTCCTGTTCTGCAAGGAATTTTTCTTTGTAAGGGATATGTGCTTTCTTCCTCTGGTCTTTGCTCCCCTTACACACTACTGTAAGACTATGCCCTGAGATTGCACTTTAATAAACAGTAGATGGTTTTTTTAAACGAAAAAAAATTGTTTTATTTCTTCTGCTTTATAAACTGTTTTTAACTTTAATGTTCAAGTGAAATAAGATAAAGGCACAATGTGTAAGATAAAAAAGAGGATCAAGTTTGTTCAATATGTCCAAACTGACATTTTTATTCAAGTATATTACTGTAGAGATTCCTAAATGGGTCACGGGACCTAAAAATCACCTTTAAAAATAATGAGAAATAAATAACTGTTATCTTGTGCCTGTCTTCTATAAGAACTCTTAAGTGGTCACAACTCCATCTCCACCAGAGGCAGCTAACTGCTGTCCTGTATCAAGTTTTAACCAGACATGCTTTGCAGTCATCCGTTCAGTCCATCTCCTAGATCAAGAAAGGAAAAACGAGAATTAGCCAGTATAATTTCCCCCCCACCAAAATGTTTAGTCATATTTCTAACATTTATTTTAAACTAGAGGCTCAGTGCACAAATCCATGCACCAGGCCTCTAGTATGCATATAAGATCTTTGGTTTATCTCTTCCTGCCTTCCCTCCTTCCCTCTCCCCTCTGAGATTCATCAATCTGTTCCCTGTTTCCATGCCTGTGGTTTCCGCTCTTGTGTTGAGCATCTGGCCCCTGGTGGTCAGTGCATGTCATATAGACTGGTTAGGTTTTTATATATATGGAATTCTTTTTTATGACTTCCTATTTACTGTTTCTCCCTCTTTTCTAACTTGTATTGAATGACCAAGCTTTCTTTTTCTTTCCTTCTAACAGCAGAGACACTTTCTGTTATGGCTCAGATAATATTTTAGACTCTGTAGGCCACTCAGTCTTGGCCATGTGCTCTTTGTCACAATGGCTCCATTCTGATGTTTCAATGTGGAAGCAGCCAGAGAAAATACACAAATGAATGAGCATGGCTATATTACAATAAAACTTTGTTTATAAAAACAAGCAGCAGGCTAGATTTGGTCTATGGTCATTATTTACCAATCTTTATAAATGATTAGAAGTTCTACATCCTTCACTTTTACCAAATGTACATTACATTTATTAGAATGTACATTCAACTTCTATGACAGGTAATCTAAATATGACTTAAACAAGATTTATTTCTCTAATTATATGTCAGCACCTCAGTCTTGGGATCCAGGAGCCTCTCTTACTGATCCTTGTCAATAAGATAAAGTCCTCACCTATGTACCCATATCCTCATGCACACTTCAACCTATGGACAGGGGGAGAAGTAGAGGGCAGATCCCTTCTCTTCAGGGACACAGTACAGAGATGTATGTATCACTTCTGCCTGCATCTCTTTAATCAAAAGTCATAGGTCACATCTGGCTTACAAAGGAACCTGGGATATGTAAACCAAAAGAACCCAGTTATAAATCCTATAACTACAGAAGATAGGGAGGACAGATATTGGGGGCATCTAACAGTATCTGCCAAAACTTTTGAGTTTCTGATTGGCTTCAAGGATTAATTATAATCTATAGCTCCTCACCCAACCAACATAAAACCTTTAGTATATATTTATTTAGCACCTCTAAAATACAGTTTCTATTACAGCCATCTCCATAGATTTGGGTTAATTCCCATGTGAGTTTTTTTAGTGCTCCACACCTATAATTTAATAGATGTTACTGCTTTACTGATGATCATTTTCTAAAGTCTAAATTAGCTGTTTTAATTTACAAGCCAGAATTCAGCCCTTAAGAACTCCAGTGCCATAAGAAATATAAGTGAAACTGAGAGTTCTGCAGAAACATGTTCTCTGGAGCCCTGTCATCTTTATATCATTGCATCCTATGTTTTGCTCCATGAGAGTTACTGCAAAAACAGATTTTTAAGGTTCTGAGATGTGGGTATTCCCATTTTTGGGTCACTTATGGTGCCAAGAGACATCTTGGTTCCAAGGAATCAAGATTCTGTTTGAGCCGTTCAGTATTTGGTAAGCTGTTAATACAGACTCATGTTGATGTCTTGCCCATTTACTCCTCTTGGGTGGTGGTTGGTGAACACTGTCCAGGAACTTTCTCAGGTGTACCTGCTTCCAACAATTCAGCATGGTTTAATACCTGATTTGAGATTTATATTCATTCTCCTGTTTCAAAATGCTGGTATAACTAAAGTCCAAAGCAGATCGAGAAAGCTTTTAAGGTTTATCACTAATTTTAAGAGGGCTGGATGCCTGAGTAATGCTTCTGGCACATAAAATCCCAAATACTAATATTTTCAAATTTAGAGAAAAGATATATTCATTGAACATCCAGTTGGCTCTATGAAACTGAAACAGCAGACATTGACTGTCTAGCCTTCTTGGGCAACATCATGAACTGTGACTTAATATCCAGATGTTTTCTGGGACCAGTTTTAGATAACCTCTTCTCCCTGCCTTTTTTTTTTAATCTCCTTTTGGTGTCTCTCACCTTCATCCTTCTTAGTGAGCATGTTTTCATTTGTTTGTTTTGTAAGCATGTCTTTAAAGAACTTAATTATACTGATTTTTGTGACAAGGTGAAGTTGACAGCAGATCTAGGGATGCTCAGCTTGAATCAGCCACTTTCTTTCATGCTCTGTCTATACCACCTATATCACACTAGTACAATTCTATGGACAGTATGAAATAAGCCTTCCTTCAATGATAGTAGCAATCTTAAAAAAAATGAAGCTGCCCAGCCAGCACAGCTCAATGGTTGAGCATCAACCTATGAACCAGGAGATCACAATTTGATTGCTGGTCAGGATACATGCCTAGGTTGCATGCTTGATCCCAAGTGGGGGGCATGCATTCTCTCATCATTGATGTTTTCCTCCCTCTCCCTTTCTCTCTGAAATAAATTTTTAAAAATACATTTTTTTTAGGAAATGAAGCTGATAAAGCTCAAAAGCTTTCTTTTTTCATTGCTACCTCCTACTACATAATGTTCTCGTTCATGAAAGCAAAATCAAGCCTTTTTGCCTAAATAGGAAGGTTTATAATAGCCTTCCTGGTGGTTTGAACATCAGAAGCAGAAGGAAGGGAGGAAAGTAGCAGAGGTCTCTGCTTAGTTTCCTGACCTTAAAGGGAAATGGATATAGGAAGTAGGCAGACACCAAGAGGATTTAGTGAAATGCCAAGGAGCTGACAATACTGGTTCTTACATTTCTGACTAAGTTTCTCACATAGGTGAGTAGGTTCTGATTAATAAAATTCACTGATGTGCGAAAGACATCATGAAGCAAGGATGGTGTGTGATCGGCCACCTTTTTGGCCAACAGCATGGTCAATATCAGCATAGTCTTCTCCTTCTCCATGTCTTTAGGATGCGTCTGCATGACCTGCTCCAGGGCAGCAGCAAGGCACTCCCTTCTGTCCTGTACAGAGGTGAAAGCAGAAGGCTAGGTCACTAATATTTTTCTCTTTTAAATGAAAAGTAGTCCTCCAGTAGAAAGCATGAAGAAACATGCTCTCTTTTCACAAGGAAGCATTTACTAAATAGCTAAGGTGGTTGGAAGAGAGAATGAGAAACAATTTAGTTCTAAGAGTAGATGGAAAGGGAAGACTGAGATTACTCCCTGGAGTGGAACACTCATTAACCAAATGCGTGGTCACTGAGCATCTGTGCACACTCAACACTGATAGAACTAAAGAAGCCAAGTTATTCCCTACCTCTGAAGCACTTCAAATCAAGAATTAGTTAACTACCCAAGATATCGTATGCCCAGTTACTGGCACAGACCTTGCTTGCTAGAGGGAGGAAGGAGGGGCTACATGTGATATTCCCACCTGGAACAGGCACACAATAGAACATTAGACCTGAGAGGGCCTGCAGGCTCATTACTTTCATGGAGAGTTAACACTGTGGGAAAGGTCCCAGGCAGAACATCACTGGATGCTTATAGATTCTGTGACAACTAGGGAGACCATCATATGGGAAGAGACCACTAAAGAGGGGATAAACCTTTTTGCAGGCAGGAGACCTGGCCTGATTGAACATTGGAGAATAAATACATTTCTATGTAGTGAGAAGTACTTGCATTTTTAGCTGGTAGTCAAAAAAATACCTTGAGGTATTTCTCCCACTAAGTTTCCTAGTGTCTTAGACCTATTTTTTTTATCTCCACAATGCTTGGCTAATGATAGAAGCTCTATAAGTATTAATATGTGGATTACAATCATGAAGTCAAGAGTAGGAGATAAACATGTTGCTTTTCCTATCACACCTGAGTAAATGACTTAAAGTTCTCTGCTGGCAGTTTTATTCAGCTCCTTACAACTAAAGAAAGTTATTTCTGGAAGAGTCATATACATTTTGTTCATCTTTTTAGAGGCTTTTATCCTGAAATTCTTTGACTCATTTCTAAATGTCAAATAACAATTCTTCTGAAAGACAATTAACCATGCTATAATTTCTATTTCCAATGCTTTTGTGGACAGTCATGAATTAAGTTACTTCACTGAACACTGGTCTGATAGCAGACAGAGGGCAGACCTTGTTGGTTAAACTGACAATACAAAAAGCCCTTATACTTCTCAACCCAGAGAAGGCACCAAAGCGTTTCTCACTTACTTCCTCTGACAGGTTCCCATTCATAAACTGTATTGCCAGGTGATTCACCAGTCTTGGGGGGACGCTGCGGTCCATCCTGTCCCCTATATGGGCAAGTTGTCTGGCGATATTCTGGATGATTTCGTCTTGACTCTCAGAGTCTGAATGTTCAGGCAGAAGCAGCAAAGACAAAGCAGAGTTAGACATTGGTCCTGTACTACACCCTCATCCCACTGCACCCCACTGCAGAAAGGAATTCTGCTTTAAAACAAAGCCAGCTCCCACTTCCACAGCACACCATGGTGGGATGGGGGGAAAAGAGGGAGTCACCAGAGAATGGCCCTGAATGAGCAGAAGTTTGGCTAAAGAAGCAGATTTCTTCCTGAATACAGATTCAACATCTGCCCACAAAAAGCATCAGTGATACTATGACACTCATGACTATGGACACCTGAGGCTTGAGCCTGGCAACAACCTTAAGGCTGCTAGTTATGTATCCCATCATCTAACGGATTTCAGACTCAGAAGTTGTTAGGACAGAGGCTCTGCAGTCATACCGATTTAGAGCCCCATTTCTGCCAATCCCTGGTCACGAGACCTTGACACATCCTCTCCTACCATCTTTACAGGGCAGCTATGGGGATCACTGCTTTCCCTAGTCATATCTCACTCAGTAAAACCTCTGTTATCACTCTGACCTAGAAGGCTTTGTACAATCTGCCCAGCCCCTCTAACAGGAACTCTTCCTACTTCTCCAGCTACACTGGCTTCTGTAGAGAGCACGCTTCTTCTTTAACTTCACAAATGCCACTCTGTCCAAGATCAAACCCCACTTTCACTGCCACATGTCCTCTTCCACTCCCTCCATTACGTCCCTTGACACCAGTTTCATAGTTTGTCTGTCTGTAGTCTTTGTCTGACTCACAGAATGTAAACTTCACAATAGCTCTGATTTTCTACATTTTTTTCTTCTTTAAATCTTTACTGTTGAGAGTATTACCGATTTTCTTCTCTCCTCCTACCCGCCACGGCCTCCCTTCATATGGTTCCCAACCTGCTCCAGGCCTTCACTCTCTGTCCATGGGTAAGATCTTTGGTTAATCTCTTCCAGCCTCCCTTCTCCCCTTCCCTCTGAGATTCATCAGTCTGTTCCATGCCTCTGGTTCTATTTTAGTCACCAATTTATTTCATTCATGATATTTCTTATTTTGATTTTTAGATTCAATTATTGATATATATGTATTGTCATTTTATTATTCATATTTTTTTTTATCTCTTCTTCATAAACAATACCCTTCAACATTTCCTGTAATACTGGTTTGGTGGTGATGAATTCCTTTATATTTTTCTTGTTTGTGACGATCTTTATCTGACATTTAATTCTAAATAAGAGCTTTGCTGGGTAGACTATTCTTGATTGTAGGTCCTTATGTTGAGAAATCAACTGACAGTCATATGAGCACTCCCTTGTAGGTAACTACCTGCTTTTCTCTTGCTGCTTTTAAGATTCTCTCTTTATCTTTTGCCCTTGGCATTTTAATTTGATGTGTCTTGGTGTGAGCCTCATTGAAATCCTCTTGACTAGGACTCTGCACTTCTCGGACTTGTATTTCTTTCACAAGGTAGGGGAAGTTTTCTGTCATTACTTCTTCAAATAGGTTTTCAATATCTTGCTCTCTCTGTTCCTTCTGGCACCCCCATAATGAGAATGTTAGTACACTTGAAGTTGTCCCAGAGGATCCTTACACTAGCTTAATATTTTTGGATTCTCTTTTCTTTTTGCTCTTCTGATAGGGTGTTTTATGCGTCTTCATCTTCCACATCATTGATTTAATCCTCAGACTCCTCTATTCTACTGCTGAATCCCTTTATATTATTCTTTATTTCAATTAGTATATGCTTAATTTCTGGTCCTTTTTCAAGTCTTTGACATTCTCAATAAAATCCTTGAAAGTCTCATGAAGATCCTTGAGTAAGCTTATAATCATGGATTTGAACCTGTATCCAAAATTTTGCTTTCTTCCATTTGTTTCATTCATGTCATGTTTCTTTGTCTCCTCACTTTGGTCGATTCTCTGTGTTTGTTTCTATGTATTAGGTAGAGCTGCTGTGCCTCCTTGATTTGGAAGAGTGGCTTGTGTAGTAGGTGTCCTGTAGGGCCCAGTAGCTCAGCTTTCCCAGTCACCTGAGCTGGACACTCTAGGTGAGCCATTGTATGGGCTCTGTGCACAGTCTTGTTATAGTTGAGTCTTGATTTCTGTTGGCGTCACTGGGAGGAATTGATCTCCAGGACAATTGGCTATGAGGACCAGTTGTGACTATAGTGGGAGAGCTGCTGTGCATAAAATACCCCTATGGAGCAGGACTTGCTTCAGTGGGGCTTTGGTGCTCACTGAGTCTGCCCCTTGAGTGTGCTGCTTATGGATGTGTTGAGTTGTAATCTTCTAGGCTCTTCATGGAGGTGCAAAGTCAGCCACTGCCTGGGGCTACCCTAAAGGAGCTATTTGTTTTGGGCAGGGAAGGCCCAGCTGTAAAGTAAGGCATGCTTATGTTAGTGCAGGGGTCTTGGGCCTTTTATTGATCAGTTTGGAGCATGCTGCTCCAGCTGCAGCATGTTTGAGAGATTTTAACAAAGTCTGAAGCCTGAGCCAGAGCAGGACATTCAGATACAAAAGCCACTGCAAACAACTTGGGTAGGGCTGCAAATTGAATAGGGTGGGGGTCTCAAGGAATCACCAGTGCAGAGAGCACATTGTGGGACATGCTGAAGGAAGCTCACATATGGCTGCCAGTCAGATCTGCGATGGGGGATGTCCCAGCACAGGGACAATGACCTTTGCAAGCACCTCTGTCTGGGAAAAAGCTGCTCCCAAGTTCCTGTTCCAATGCCAGACAATCCAGTTCCTCCTCATATGTGTCTGGGTCCTCCAGAGCCTCACCCTGGCATTGGGGCAGAGGAAGTAGGACCTTGTAAGTTCAGTTCATGTGCCAGCCCTTTAAAAGGAACATCTGGGTTTCCAGCAGTCTCCATGTCACTAAGCACCAGTACCTGCTTGTTTCTACAGCTGTAGTTATGGGCACTTCTATTCCCAGCTGTGGAACCCTGGGGGTCTGGGGTGAGGCTGGGACCCCTCACTTCTCCACAGGGACAATCTCCAATCTGATGAAACAAATGGCCCACATGGGTGCTGTTCTAGCCTGTACCACACCTCTGCCCCTCCTACCAGTCTTAATGTGCTTTCTTCTCTAGTGGAGAACTTCCATTTGGCCAGCTTTCAGGTGGTTTTGAATGATGTTGCTCTGTATTTTATTTTACTTTTTATTTTTTTAATAAATCTTTATTGTTCAGATTATTACAAATGTTCCTCTTCTTCCCCCCCATACCTCCCCTTCACCTGATCCCCCGTCCCCGCTCTTACTCCCTGCCACTGTCCTCATCCATAGGTTTAAGATTTTTGTCCAATCTCTTCCCGCACCCCTCACACCTCCTTTTCCCCCAAGAATTATCAGTCCACTCCCTTTCTATGCCCTGATTCTATTAGATTCACCAGTTTTCCTGTTCATCAGACTTTTTATGGCCTTGATTTTTAGATTCATTTGTTGATATGTATTTGTTGTTCATAATTTTTATCTTTACTTTTTTCTGCTTCCTCTTCTTAAATAATATCTTTCAGCATTTCATATAATACTGGTTTGGTGGTGATGAACACTTACCATTTTCTTATCTGTGAAGCTCTTTATCTGACATTCCATTCTGAATGATAGCTTGGCTGGGTAATCTTGGTTGTAGGCTCTTACTATTCATCACTTTGAATATTTCTTGACACTCTCTTATGGCCTTCATAGTTTCTGTTAGGAAGTACCCATATGACTGTCAGCTGTTAAGAAATCAGCTGTCAGTCGTATGGGTACTTCCTTGTAGGTAATTAATATTTTTCTCTTGCTGCTTTCAAGATTCTCTCTTTGTCTTTTGCTCTTGGCATTTTAATTATGGTGTGGTCCTCTTTGGATTCCTTTTGTTTGAGATTCTGTGCACTTCCTGGACTTGTAAGTCTTTCACCAGGTGGAGTAAGTTTTCTGTCATTATTTCTTCTAATAGCTTTTCCATATTTTGCTCTCTCTTCTTCTGCCACCCCCATAATTCAGATGTTGGTACACTTGAAATTGTCCCAGATGCTCCTTACATTATCTTCATATTTTTGGATTCTTTTTTTCTTTTTCTTTTTCTGGTTGGGTGTTTTTTGCTTCCTCATATTTCAAACTTTGGTTTCATTCTAGATGGATTTCTGTATATTATTCTTTATTTCAGCCAGTGTATGCTTAATTTCTGACCGGTCCTTTTCCTTTTTTTTTTTTTTTTTTTTGCATTCTTATTAAAATCCTTTAAGGTCTCACTAAGTTCTTCAGAGGTCTCACGAAGTTTCTCAGCAGTTTCTAGAAGATTCTTGAGTAACCTTGCAACTGTGGTTTTGAACTCTATATACAGTAATTTGCTTTCCTCCATTTCTTTCTTTCATGACGTTTCCTTGTCTCCACATTTTGGCTTCTTCCGTGTTGATGGAGTGGCTTTATGTGGTTGGTGACCTATAAGGCCCAATGGCTCAGCCTCCCCAATCACTTACAGTGGACACTCTTGGTGCACCCCTTTGTGAGCTAGGTGCACAGTCTTGTTGTAGTTAAGCCTTAATTGCTGTTGGTACACTGGTAGGAACTGATCTCCAACCAATTGGCTATGAGGATCAGCTGTGTCTATAATGGAAGAACTGCTGTGCTGGAGACACCCTTATAGGGCAGTACTTGCTTTAGTGGGGCTTTGGTGCTCACTAAGTTTTCCCCTTGAGTATGTCACTTATGAGACTAGATAGAAGGTGCAGAGGATGCTAGGAGTTGAAATCTGGTGTCTTACCCTGACCACTAGGTACAATGGCTCCTGGATCTCCAAGGAGGTGCAAATCGGCTACTATTTGAGGCCACCCAGCAGGAGCTACAGCAAGATCTGTGGATTTCTCCTCTTTGTTTGGGATTTGGAAGTTTTAGAGCTCTCTGACCCAACTGCAATTTGTCAGGTTAAGCTGTGAAAGGGCAGGCCATTCTTATACAAAATCCACTGCACACAGCTTGGGTGGGTTTGTAAATTGGGGGGGATTGCAGGGATTCACTTGGGCTTAGCAAACAGTGATGGCTGCCAGTCAGCCATCTCTGCGTCTCTACATTTCCGCATCCAGAACCAGTACAGTAAACAATGATTCCTGCAAGCACCTCTGCGAGAAAGCCACCCGCACTTTCTGACCTGATGCCAGATAGTCCAGTTTCTCCCGGGGATTCTGGGTCCCCAGAGTCTCGCTGGAAAGGAGTTTAGTGCAGTCAGGGGTTTGTATCTCCCTTCTAATTGAAAAAACTGCACATCTAATCGCCAGCCCAATTTGCGCATCTCTGTACCTCTGTTTTTCAGTGCCTCTGCACCTTCTATCTAGTCTCAATGAGCTTTTTTCTTTCCTTCTAGTTGTAGAACTTTTACTCAGCCAGCTTTCCTGTGGTTCTGGGTGTTAGTCGTTTTGTCTTTTAGTTGTAGTTTTGGTGTGGTTGAGAGGCAGCATAAACACATTTATACCTTATGCCACCATCTTAGTTTTCTGGTTGCTCTGTATTTTAGTTGTAATTTTGATGTAGTTGTAGGAGGCAGCAAGAACCTGCCATTTTGGTTCTCTCAGGACTCTGATTTTTTAATGCTTTATTGCCAAACATGCAGTACTGAGAACAATGCAAGGCACACAGAAGATGCTAAATAAACAATTTTATGAACGAATGAATAAGTGATTGAACCCTGTACCTAGCTCCTAGTAAATTTTCAATAAATGCCAACTATTGTTATTTCTTCAATTAAATCTTACACTGTGGAACTTCACTTCTTGAACTTAATTCATTTCAGAAGGCTGTTCAAAAAGCAATTTATTCAAAAACATCATTTTCCCCATTAAAAATAATGTAAACTGAATTAATCCATTCCAAATCCCCAAATCATTCCCTCTTTTAATCTACTGAATTGCCTGTGATCAATGTTTCCTTAGCATTTTCACACCCTTAGCAACATCACTCTTGATGGCCTCTTTATGTCTTAAAATTGTGCTAATCATGGATTACAGTCTCTCCTCACCCCATTATCACTGTCCTCCAGTCCACTCTCCACAGTATACTTGGGCCAGCAAGGCACTTGCAGGTGAAGATGAGAGGGCATTGAGAGTGAGTGCCTCCTTACATTTTGTACCCTGGGTATTTCATTTGCCTCACTGTGGCACATGAGTATCAATATGACATCACTTTTTTACTCAGAATTTGCCTCATGCTCAACTGTGCTGAAGTGAAAAATTACCACCCAGCCTCAAATTACACTGAACTTCAATTATTCCCTTCAAATGCTCTAGTTAAAGTCAACTATTCACAGGACCTTTCCCAGGCCCTGGCATTTTGATCTTCAGGGTTTTGTTTAAGCTATTGCCATTCCCTCTTCCTAATCTCCAGAGCAAAACTACACAACTTCACTGCTCAGCTCAATTCCACTGCAGCCATGAAATTTCTCCTGATTTCCCACAGAGAACGAAGTACTCACTACTTTCTCCATAGCTCCCACAGCACTGACTTTGCCTCACTAATCTCCCTAGGCATTTCTCCTATTTCAGCAACTTCAGGAGTCATGGCTGATTCATCTATGTGCAACTAAGTGAATAAATTCAACATGAAATTTATAGTGGCCAGAGCCTCTATTTTTGCCCTGTTCTTCCAAATCTTGTCAGGTACTTACAAACAGAGGGAGAGGTTAAGTGTACAGCTCCATAATCAATTTTAAAATGCCATTTGAGTCAAGCCAGACTTTCCAACCTACAAGAAAGGGAAGGTACAGAACAGCAAAGGAGAGCCCAGGGGACAGCCTCTAGCGGTAGTTACTCCTACTAACAATTTCTGCCAGCAAAGCCATTCCTGCCCCTCCTTTCCTAAAGGGTCCAGGTGCTCTTATTCCAGTTTAGAGCCAGAAGACATGCTAGCTGGATTCTAAGGCAGCTAACATCTGGCACATCTTGATTAGTGGAGAACTCTTTATTACACATCCCTATTCACCAGCTGTGAGACAGAGCTAGGGGTTCCAAGGCTGGATGGGTTGCTGGTCTCCCTTAAGGCCACCAGAGAGCAGTGCAGAAACCCAGAGATGTAAGGGTATCAGGACTTTACTCCTGTTCCTAAGTAGAGAGGCTTAGGGTCTAGGTCCTTAAAGTCACCTTAGGCTTTTAAGTCAGTGAAACTATCCAGGGCATAAACCAGAGTCTCCCATCCTAGAACACACTGGGTCAGGAAACTGGAGTAGGGGTCAGGGACCAGGCATTTTGAAAAAGCTTTTCTTGGAATTCCAATGTGCACACTACTGAGGGCCACTGTTCTCTAATCTGGGAATGGCTAAGCATTCAACATGCTCCCCAGCCTTGCTCCCTCAGCTATCTGCTTGGAATACCTAGTCTCCATCAGTGAAGGCAGCATTAGCAATAAAGAGGAGTAAAAATTGAAGTTGGAGAACAACAAAAGGATGTGGGTGAGGAAAGGTGAAAGAAGTCTGGAAACTGTAATGTACCGAGAAACATAGCGACCAAGGGAGGATGGGGCCCAGCTCAGGGAAAGAGGCCTGGCCTGTCATTTGGTATTTATGCTTTTCTGGGCCTCAGTTTCCTCATTTGGAAGTGATATTCAGAATACTTCAATGCCCCAACCTAATATATAAAAACCCTGGGTCATAACGATCAATAACAACCAATAACAACCGAACCTCGACCAACGGGAAGTCAGCCCTGCAGGCGCAGTGCTCCACCACTGACTGCTGAGAGGGCTGCAAATCAGGGCCAGAGAGAGGCCTGAAGAGAGAAGCAGGGACTGATCCATTGCCTCTGAGGTAGCTTTTGACCAACACTTGTCCCTCTCTTTCCCCGTCTGGCCAGCAGCCTCACCTCCATTTCTTTTTTTAACTTATTTTTATTTTATTTTTTTTATTGCCTCCATTTCTCTCCAGGCCTCCACCAGGGCTGCTGATCAGCACTGCCTTTCTGATCAGGCCCCGTAGATAGGCCCAGAGACACTGACTGGCATAGGAACCAACTAATCAGAACCAAATCTGGGTGCTGTGAAAACCAATGGCTGCCTAGGAGGCAGAGCTTCTGATGTTGATTGTTATAGACACCGACCAATCAGAACCAAATGTGGGTGCTGTGGGGAGCCAGTGGCTGTCTAGGAGACAGAGCATTTAATAATGACTAGCATAGAAACCAATTAATCAAAACCAAATCTGGGTGCTGTGGGAAGCTAATGGCTGCCTAGCAGGTGGAGCTTTTGAGGCTGACTGACATTGAAACTGACCAATTAGAACTAAATTGGCCAGCATAGAGGGCAGTTGGAGGTAAGATCAGGCCAGCAGGGGAGGGCCATTGGGGGTGAGATCAGGCAGGCAGGCAGAGGCAGTTAGGGGTGATTGGGCAGGCAGGCAGGTGAGCATTTAGGAGCCAGCAGTTCCAGATTGCAAGGGGAATGTCTGACTGCCAGTTTAGACCCGATCCCTGTGGACCTAAATCGGCAATTAGAGACCTCTCCCAAGGAGTCCCCAATTGGAGAAGGTGCAGGCTGGGAGGGAAGCCCCCCTCTGTGCATGAACTTCGTGCACTGGGCCTCTAGTGTGTGTGTGTGTGTGTGTGTGTGTGTGTGTGTGTGTGTATTTATATTTATATTTATATTTATACTTATATTTATAAATGTAAGGTGCTATACAGATATAGTCATTATAGTCATTATAAAAAAAACTGAGTGGATTTTCAACTAATTGGAAGCTCAGCTGTGCTTATTCCACTGGAGGAACCAAGTATCACATGACGCAAACATCAATGGTGGACTAACAACACTCAGGTGGAGCTGAACCCAAAGGTCTCTTCTAGCACTCTGGATCCCTAAATGCCACTGGTGACAGCAAGGCAGAAAAGACTGGGCCCGATGCTTACCTGTCTCCTGGCTCTCCAGGACAAAGTGGCTGTACTGGCTGCCATCGGTCTGCAGTTCATCATCATGGTTTTCCCGTAGGCCAGCTGGCAAATATAGGTCATGGCCCAACACCTGCAGCTCTTTTTGGAAATTGTAGTTGGAGCAGTTTTGAAGGAAGCCAAACATCAGCAAGTCTGTAATGTGCTCATCCTGGAGGCCTGAACCATTGCTTCCCTAAGATGAAAGGGGGTCAGGAAGGCTGAGTTGGCAGAAGGGCTCTGGGTACTATGAGGCCCCAAATAGCCTCCAAGAGATCTGAATAACTCTATGGGCACAACAGTCCTGCAAGAGATCTCATTGGGCAGAGACCAAGTCTGCAACACCTGTATGTAGATGTCAAAGAGAAAGCTCCAATTCTGCACAAGTTGGTTATTTACCACTTAACTGACATCCTGACATTAGCTGGAGTAAGCTTGCTTTTGGGGTAGGAAGCCCAAAGACTGTTTTAGGATGTGAAGTAAATAACATGTAGAGAACCCTCTTGCTTTTGCCAAGTCCCATGTGTCTTTTACCAAACTGAGCCCAGCCTTACTGACCATGGATCCAGCAGTTAGAAGCTCATTCCTCTCCATAATGTCCTTTATGAGCCAGTATGGATTGAGCAAACAGCAGATTTTTAATAAATACTGGTAATAGTAACTAGATACCCTCTCCCCTGAGCAAGCTTGGGAGGACGTGCTTCTTAACCAAAACCCACGAGAGCACAGCTCCAGCTCCAACCCAGAAGAGCTGGTGATGGTGGCCCAGCAGCTCTCCATCCAAGAGCAATGCTACAGCAGTAGCTAAGTTCAGCCTCTGTGCTATGGGAGCAGCGTGGGCATTTCTGGTGTGCTGACTGCATTTGGGGCAGTGTTCTTGACAAACACAGGTGAGCACTTGTGGCATCAGCAGTTAGGTGTGCTCAGAAAAATCAAAGATCTAGGATGAGAGGGAGTAATCTGAAAGGCCAGGGATCCAAACATCTGCTTGTATAAATGCAAAGCTGGCTTGCTGGATGGTATGAGGTCAGTAGAAAATGAAGGTGCAGGTAAAATTTATTTCTATATTCTAAGTCCTTAGTAGTTTTCTTTAAAAAAAAATAAATAAAAAAAAAATATATATATATATATTTTCTTATTGATTTTTAGAGAGAAAATGAGAGAAAATAAATAAATAAATGTAAGAGAGAAACATCGATCAGCAGCCTCCTGCACTCCCCCTTTTGGGGATCAAGCCCTCAACCTGAGCATGTGCTCAGACCAGGAAATGGAACCTTCAACCTTTTGGTGCATGGCAGAAGGGCTCTGGGTACTATGGGGCCCCAAATAGCCTCATAGTACCCAGAGCTGACTGGTACTATGAGCCATACTGACCAGGGCAGTCCTTAATATTTTTCATTAGAAAATTCAGAAAACAGTTAGAGGACAGTTTTTAGGAGGCAAATAGTTTTCAATAAAATGCTTATATATTGTTATTCAGCCTTTAGTCCTCTAAAGTTATTCCTAAAAAAATGGGAGCCCAGCTGGCATGACTCAATGGTTGAATGTTGACCTATGAACTAGGAGTTCACAGTTTGATTCAGGTTAGGGCACTGTCCGGATTGTGAACTCGATCCCCAGAAGGGGCAGCTGATCAATGATTCTCTCACCACTGATGTTTCTATCTCTCTCCCTTCTTCTCTGAAATCAATAAAGACATATTTAAAAGAGGGGGTGGTGCCAAAACCGGTTTGGCTCAGTGGATAGAGCGTCGGCCTGCGGACTGAAAGGTCCCAGGTTCGATTCTGGTCAAGGGCATGTACCTTGGTTGCGGGCACATCCCCTGTAGGGGGTGTGCAGGAGGCAGCTGATCGTATGATTCTCTCACATCGATGTTTCCAACTCTCTATCCCTCTCTCTTCCTCTCTGTTAAAAATCAATAAAATATATATTTAAAAAATAATATTAAATAAATAAATAAAATAAAAGAGGGGATGGTAATGATATACAAAAGCTCTACTGTCAAGCCCTGGCCAGTTTGGCTCAGTGGTTAAAGTGTCAGCCCATGGTTTGATTACCACGTGCAGGTTACATTGCAGGTTTGATTCCCAGCTGTGTGGAAGGCAATCAGACTATGTGCCTCTCTCACATCAGAGTGTCTGTCTCTCTCTCTCTCTCTCTCTCCCCCTACTTTCCCTTCCTCCCTTCCACTGTCTGAAAATCAATGGAAAAAAATCCTCGGGTCAGCATTTAAAAAAAACACACAAAAAAACTTGCCCTAGCTGGTTTGGCTCAATGGATAGAGCATTGGCCTGCTGACTGAAGGGTCTTGGGTTCGATTCCAGTCAAGGGCACATGTGATCGTAGCTTGGTCCCCGGTAGAGTGTGTGCAGTGATTTTCTCTCATCATTTATGTTTCCTTCTCTCTCTCCCTCTCTTTTACTCTCTGAAATCAATAAAAATATATTTTAATAAAGCTCTATTGTGAAAATAAATAAAAATATATTTTAAAAAAGCTCTACGTGAAATAATTTCAGGAGGAGCTTAGAAAGTTAAGAACGGGCTTCATTTCCACCTCATGGTGATGTACTGGTTACAGAGAAGACTGGGGCAGTGTTATGGGGTGAACTATGTTCCCCAAAAGGAAACGTTTAAGTGCTAGGCACAAGTACCTATGAATGTGACCTTATTTGGAAATCAAGTTAAATATCAGGTCACCCTGGATCAGGGCAGGCATCTGCCACTGGTGTCTTTATGAGAGAAGACAGAGTTCTGAATAGAGACACAGAGGGACAATGGCATGTGAAGACAGACTAAAAGTAGAGTGATGTGCTTAACAACCAAGGAGCACCAAGCACTGTTGGTAGCCACCAGAAGCAGGGAAAGAGGCATGGGACAGGTTCTTCATCAGAGCCCCACAGGGATCCAACGTTGCTAACCCCTTGATTTCAGACTTCTAGCCTCCTGAACTGTGAGAGAAAACACTCAGCTTGTGGTATTTTGTTTCAATAGCCCCAGAAAACTAATATAGGCAGTTTTTTCCTGACGACTTCCTTTTGATCTAGAGGTTGATAAATAAGTGTCCAAAGTCTGGATGTAGAGCAATTGTTGCTAACCACTATGCCAGATCAGCTTATCAAATATAACTTCAGTAATCTTGGCTTTTGCCATGGAAAATTAAAAGAATAGAATTGGCAGAGAGGAAGAAGCCAAGAGTGACCCATGCAGCCAAATGTTGAGCACCAGGCTGGCTGAGAAGCAGTAGGAACAGACTCCATTCTAATAAATAGGCTGGAGTTCCATAGAATAGGCAGTAGGTTCAGAAGACTGACAGTATTGAACTCTAAAAACAAATAAGAACCAGTGATAGTATGACCTTTTTTGATCCTTCCAGTAATGAAAGTTAAAATGAGTATCTCAAAAAGATAAAATATTTGATAGTTGTTTATCCTTTAGGTCATAGGAAAAAAATTTTAGGAGAGAGGAGAAACCAAGATGGCGGCGTAGGTAAACAACTAGTCTGCCGCTCGCACAACAATTTAAAAAATTAAAACTAATATAAAGGATATCTATCACCCCAAATCACGGTAAGGCTGGCTGAAAGAGAAAGGAGCGCAAGCGTGGGAAAGCTGAGGAGTCTAGGTATGGAGGCACGCGAATCAGGCTGGTGGCGGGTGACTGGGTGTTCGGCTTTTCTTTTCAACCCGAAAGGAAACAAGCTCCCGATCACTTTGAAATCCAGTTTCTGGGGTCACGTGGGGGACCCAGACGCCTAAGGGGAGAAGCTGGTCTGTCAGCCATCGGGTCTGAAGTGAGGGCGACAATTGCAGAGGTGCACACACCGATCATTGTTACTGCGCTGGATCACAGGGAAGCACGGACTTGGAAACGCGGGGACAGAGACAGCTGATGGCTGCCATCACTGTTAGACAAGCCCCAACCTAGTGATGTCCTGAGACACCTCCCCACCCTGAGGCCCCGCCCTGCCCTGAGACCCTGCCCTGAAGTCCCACCCACACATTCTACAGACCCGCCCAGGCACCACACAGCTGCTTTTACATATGAATGGCCTGTATTGAGATAGTTTAACCAGATATAAACTGCAGCTCCAGCAACAAAACCACCAAGTCCCAAGCAAACAGGAGAAAACTGTAGTTCTAGCTGTAGCTCCTGCAGGGTGGCTTCAGACAGTAACTGAACTGAATCCCATTGGAGATCCAGAAGCCAGTGTTCCTAGTGGTCAATTTTAACCACTCACACCCATAAGTGACACATTCAGGAGAGGGACTCAGTGAGCACCAAAGCCCCACTGAAACAAACCAAGTCTCCAGCGCAGCAGTTATAGACAATTGGCCTGGAGATCAATTCCTCCCAGAGTACCAATAGCAAACAAGGCTTAATTACACCAAGACTCTGCACTCAGCCCACAAAGGGATATACCAAAAGCGAACACCCCAGGTGATTGGGGAAGCTGATAGTTCACCTACCACACAAAGCCACCCCATCAACACAGGGAGGAGACACAGAAACATGTCACGAATGGGAGAGTTGGAGGAAAGTAAACTACTGGACGACACAGAGTTCAGAATCACATTTATAAGATTACTCAAGAATCTTCTAAAAACCTTTGAGAAACTTGATGAGACCTCCAAGAAGCTTGGTGAGACCTTCAAGGACCTTAAAGAGAATACCAAAAAAATGGAAAAGGACCAGTCAGAAATTAAGCATACAAACTCTGAAATAAAGACTATACAGAAACTCAACTATAGATCAAGGTACCCCAAGAATCAAATCAAAGATCTGGAATATTAAGGAAGAAAAATTCACTCAACCAGAGAGGCAGAAAGAAAGAAGAATCCAAAAGTGTGAGGATAGTGTAAGGAGCCTCCGGGACTGTTTATAATGTACCAACATCCAGATTTTTGGGGTGCCAAAGGAGAGCGAGCAGGATATTGAAGGACTATTGAAAGAAATAATGATAGAAAACTTTCCCTACCTGGTGAAAGAAATAGACTTACAAGTTCAGGAAGTATACAAAACCCCAAACAAGAGGAATCCAGAGGACCACACCAAGACACATCATAATTAAAATGCCAAGGGCAAAAGACAAAGAGAGAATCTTACAAGCAGCAAGAGAAAAACAGCTAGTTACTTACAAGGGAGTACCCATATGACTGTCAACTGATTTCTCAACAGAAACTATGCAGGCCAGAAGGG